AGGTTGGAGATGAGTTGCAAGTTTCTGGCTGGGATGGCCTCAGTGGGTACCCTTCACCCCATAGAGCCACCTCTCCTCAGTAAGGAAAGGCAGGTCTGATGTCCCCAGCGCTACCCCTGAATCCACTGTGGTGAATTTGTCCTGGTCTCTCTCCCCAACTCACCCTGTCCCTCGTTTCTCTCCATCCCTGACAGTGCCATAGGTGTCCCAGGAGGCCTTGGTGTGTGTGTGTAGAGGGGTGCAGTTTCCACTGGCCCCTGGATGGATGTAAGAAGAAGGGCAAGCCAGTTCCTTGGACCCTGGGTTCAAAATCAGTGAGGAGTTTGTTTAGATTCCCTGGATGTTCTGAGCAATGTTACAAATGGGGTTTCCAGAACCTTACAGAAACTGTGGTGACCACCATGGGGAGAACACTACCTCTTTTTTCCCTTTTTAATTTAAATTAGATGTCAATATCAGTTCCCTCTCCTTTCTCTCCTCCCCTGGCCCCCACCGACCCCCCTATCCTCATCCTCTTTCTGCTCCCAAGAGAAAGTGAGACCTTCCATGGGGGATCTTCAAAAAAAAATCTGTCATCATTTTGAGCACGGCCTAGACCCTCTCCAGTGTGTCTAGGCTGAGAGAGTGTCCCTCTAGTGGAGAGGGATCCCAAAGTTCATTTGTGTACTAGGGGTAAATACTGATCCACTGCCAGTGGCCCCATAGATTGTCCAGACCTCCAAAATGACCTCCTCCTTCAGGGGGTCTGGGACAGTCCTATGCTGGTTTCCAGCTATCAGTCTGGGGTCCATGAGCAACCCCTTGTTCAGGTCAGCTGTTTCTGTGGGTCTCTCCATCCTAGTCTTGACCCCTTTGCCCATCACTCCTCCCTCTCTACAACTGGATTCCAGAGTTCAGCTCAGTGTTTAGCTGTAGTGTCTGCTTCTGCTTCCATCAGCTACTGGATGAAGGCTCTAGGATGGCATATAAGGTAGTCATCAATCTTATTATTGGAGAAGGGCATTTAAGGTAGCCTCTCCACTATTGCTTAGATTGCTAGTTGGGGTCAACCTTGTAGATCCCTGGACATTTCCCCAGTGCCAGAATTCTCTTTAACCCTATAATGGCTCCCTCTGTGATGGTATCTCTTTCCTTGCTCTCCTCTATTCTTCCCCTGACTAGATCTTCCTGCTCCCTCATGCCCTCCTCTCCCCTCCTCTTCTCCCCTTTTCTTTCTCCTAACTCCCTCTCCCCTCCCACTATGCTCCCCATTAGCTTAGGAGATCTTGTCCCTTTCCCCTTCTCTGAGAGACCATGTGTGTCTCTTTTAGGGTCCTTCTTGTTTCCTAGCTTCTCTGGCATTGTGGATTGTAGGCTGCTACTTCTTTGCTCTAAATCTAAAATCCATATGAGTGAGTACACACCATTTTTGTCATTTTGCGACAGGGTTACCTCACTCAGGATAGTTTCTTCTAGCTCCATCCAAACATCTACCTCTTGACCAGACAAATTCCCAAGCTAGATCAGACCCCAAACTGTCTGGAGCCACACTCTGCACTGCGGTGAAGTGGGCCTGCCTGCAAGGACTAGGAGGCCTGGGAGCCTAGGCAGTGACTCTCAGCTGCTGATAGGACAGGCTGAGGGGCTGAAGTTGAGTGGGAGTGGATTTCTCTCTCTTGAAATCAAGTCCACCAGAGAGGGCTCTAGGCTCTGGTGTGCTGGAGACACTGAGCTGGCTCCTGGGAGCTGATTTTCACGTCTCTTGCTGTCATCCAAACACCTCACAGGGGTGGGTTGAGATCCACTCTGTGGAGAGCTTTAATAGCATTGGAATTAGCTAACAGTATAGGGCCTGCCTGCCTTCTGTCCTCCCTTCCTGTCTCCCTCCCTCCCTCCCTTCCTTCCTTCTTTCCTTGCTCCCTCCTTCCCTTCCTCCCTTCCTTTTTTTTTCCTTCCAGGGATCAGGTCTGGTGACCGTGTACCTGTTCACACAGTCCTCAGAGACACAGTTACTTCTTCCTCTACCTCTTCTGCTTTCAGCTTGTGACTTTGATGTCACATTTGCCTCATACTGAGATGACTACTAGAGTTCCGGTCATGTTGTTGTTGCCGGTGTTTTCATGGCTGTCTTCATGCTCAGTTGCCTTCCTCTGAGTAGAATTCCCCGACCATGGCATCTAAATTGGCCTGCCCGCCACACGCTCTGCCATCTTTTCTAGAGCATGGACCATGTCTGTCATTCCCTTTCTCGTCTATATCAGTCTTTCTGACTGGACTGGAGGTTCCCGTGGGCGGAAACTGCATCTGCCTTGTTCTCTGTTGTGTCTCCAGACCTCAGCGGTGCCCCTTTCTTTGTAGCTGCTCAATAAACTATTGATGAATGAGTAAGTGATAGTAAGCAGAGGCAATTCTGTGTTCTCCATTCCTCCCTTATGATGTTATCTTGGCCATTTCCTCATGTCAGTGCTTAGGCTGTAGGATGAGTTGGACCAGTTGTTTGTCGAGGATCCTGCCTGCTCTGACAAGATGGATAAGTAAGAGGGAGGTAAAAATAGGAACCAGCCGGGCAGTGATGGCACAGGCCTTTAATCCCAGCACATGGGGGCAGATGCAGACAGATCTCTAAGAGTTCAAGGCCAGCCTGGTCTACAGAGTAAGTTCCAGAACAGCCAGGGCTACACAGAGAAACCCTGTTTCAAAAAAAAAAAAAAAAAGGAAGGAAGGAAGGAAGAAAGAAAGAAAGAAAGAAGAACCAGCATCTCAGCCTGTCTGGCACCACATTGCCTAAGCTGACTGGGTCCCAGGGAATTGCTCAGGGTCTGTTTTCATGGAAACTCATTCATACAGCCCCTTCCTGGAGTCCCAACTAGTACCAGATAGCCCCTGGATGCAGACCATGGAGGGAGGTAGCAAGGGGAACCCAAGGGCTAATGTAGGGAAGGACAGACAGGAGGACACTTGCCTACAATACAGAGGCTAGAGGCTCAGTAAGTGCAGACAGCTGGAATCTGTTGGGGACCACCCACCTCTACCCTGATTTGTTTATTTGACAAATAAACAGGCCCTGCCATGTGCTAGGACCACTCTGGGCACTGAGGGTACAGGAAGCTATAACAGCAAACAAACTGCACAGGATTCCCACTCATAATTGTCTGACCCCAGTGAGTGAGGCAAGCAATACACATAGAAGCCATCAATGAGTATGGTCTCCTCTGTAAGGTACCACAAGATCCCAGGCTGTAAGCCCGAGCCAACAGTGAGTGCAAAGTCCCAAGGCTGGAGGGATGAAAATGTGGCTCCACTGTGGTATGCTCGCCTAGCTCACACAAGGCTGGGGGTTCCACCTCTGCACAACCACTACCAAAAGACGTCCCAAGTGTTGAGCCAGCTCTGGATGATGGAGGGGAGCCATTTTGGCTGGATGGGAGCAAGATGAGAGGATGGTGGAGATAGTGGTGGAGGCAAGGCCCAGGAGAGGGAGCTGCAAGGTTGAAGCAGGTACCGAATACCTCAGTGATCAACATGAATAATTCCCAATGAGATATTTTTTGGACAAAATTAATGCCAGAAAATCTGTAATGAACAAACTATCAATATTTTAAGCAAGGCCATCACAAGTGTCCTGTTGACCTAAACGGAACTCTAGACAGAGGAAAAATCACAGTACTAAGCCTGTTTGTGGTCAGAGGGGGAGGCGTGTGTGTGTGTGTGTGTGTGTGTGTGCGCGCGCGCGCGCGCGCGTGCTTGAGTGCACTTGGAGGCCAGAGATCAACCTCATCTGTCAATCCTCAGCAGCAGTCTACCTTTAAAAACAGTTTATCTTTGTTCTCTTTTTAAAGATTTTTTTTATTTTTATTTTGTGTATGTGAGGGTCAGCCTACATGCATGTCTGTGTACCACGTGCCTGTGTGGTGGCCAGAGAGGCCAGAGGAGGACATCTCATCCCAGAAACTGAAGTCAGAGACTATGGCCCACTTTATGGATGCTCAGACTGAATATGGTACCTTTGCAAGAGCAGCAAGTGCTCTTCGAAGATGAGCCCTCTCTCCAGCTCTTTACCTTTTAATTGTCTTAAACAAGATATCTCATTGGACTTAGGGCTCACCAACTAGGTTGGTCTGTCCGGCCAGTGAGCCCCGGGGATCCCCTGGCCCCATTCCTAGCGCTGGGGTAACAAGCATGTGCTACCACAACTAGCTTCGTACATCAGAGCTGGGGATCAGACTCAGGGCCTCATGCCAGCATGGCAAGCACTTCACTGAGTGTCTCCCAGTCCCCAGTCCTGCTTTCAGTTGAGAGGTGATACCTTGTCTGCCTGGATCATCTTGGATGTCATCATTGTAGAAATATGTCACCTGGCTTTAAGCTTGTCGGCTCCAGCTCACCGTGCTGGCCCTGACTGGTATGTGCTGGCTGTATGTTTGGAGCCAGGTTCTTGACCTCTTGTCCCACTTGAGAATGGGGATAGCAATAGTGCTACGGAAAGGCTCTGGTGAGTCACTACCTGCAGGAGCCGGGGAGCCGGGTCCAACCAGGCAAGCAGAGACTGTATATAGGCAGTGAGCCTGCAGCTGTGGGCTGTGCTGCTGCAGTCTGGGTCCCCATCAGAGTGCCACACAGGTGCCAGCCAGTGGCTAAGGGGCAGGGTGAGGGAGGGTGTGATGAGATTGTTTGGCATCAGGAGGACCAGAGATCGAGGCCTGGTAACTCATGATTGTAACCCTAGATACTTGAGAAGGGTTGCTACAAGTTTGAGGCTAACCTAGGCTACATAGTGAGTTCCGGGCCAGCTTGGCCTAGAGAATAAGACCCTATTTCACTAGTTCTGAGTGTTCTGTCTTGGATTTAGGAAACAAAGTCAACAGAATATGATGGGTGAACTACAATGGGAGGGGGCATTGGGGTTGGAGGTCAAGGGCAGGATAGGCCCCAGCTGCCAACAGAGCTGGGCTCTCCATCATCGAAGACTGCCCTGGCTGGGTGTGGCCTGCTCCCCCATGCAGGCCCTATGTGTATTTCAGAGGGAACTGAAGGAGCAGCTTCAAGCCCTTCAGGACAGCGAGCGTGAGCACACAGAGGCGCTGCAGCTACTTAAGCGACAGCTGGCAGAGACTAAGGTGAGCCTGACCGAGTGTGGGGGCAGGGGGGGCTGTGGTGAAGTAGGGCTAAGAATCCTCCAGTTCTCTGAGGAAACTTGGCTTCCAAGTGCATAAGCATGATGGGAAAGAGGCAGGGTGGGTAGGAGTGGAGCTTCTGAGATAGCAAATGGGAGCAGGACCCACCCCCAATGTCTCAGAGGGCTTTGGAGCCTAAGTAGGGCCATTTCTCTTCAACTTCAACGTGGGACCAGGAAGGGCTGACAAGATCTACTCAGCACCTCATTGTTCTTCCCTTTTAAATAGGCCCATTGCCCAGGAGCCAACTGTGGCATGTCCCCTCCTAGCCATGACTGGTGTCATTGCCCCTCTCTCACTCAAGCATAGAGATAAGGACTTTAAACCCAGGTGTCTCGAGACACACCTGTAATCCCAACACTGAGGAGGCTGCAGCAGGAGAATGCTGAGTCTCAGGACAACCTAGGCTACATGGCAAGACCTTGTCTGGAGAGGATGGGGGACCTGACTCCAACTCTGAAAAAGTACTGCAAAATTCTGTTCTGTGGTCTCTGGCTACAGTGATGGGATGGAACCTTTTGTCCTTAACTTGAGAGGACTCAGATCCAGTCCTAACACTGATGGTGTGACATTGGGAAAATCACATCCCTGGGCTCTCTATCTAAACAGTGGGAACTCTGGCCAGTTCAATCCAGAACTTAGGGATGGGAGAGAGCTTCACATACAGAGGAACTCTAGGGAATGACTTCAGGCTGACCCTGCTCTACGAGATGAAAGCCACTGCAACTGGAGGCAGAGCCTAGAGACACCATCGGTAACTCGACATCTGTGTTCCAGCATGGCCACAAACTCACTGCGTGGTCTTGGGAGGGTCATGACAGACATTCCTTCAGCGGAGATTCCAGAGGGCCTCTGAGCAGGACCCCTCAGTGGGTGACAGATGAGAAACAGCCATGGGGTTGCAACCTCAACACTCCTCCGAGCCTTAGCTTCTCTGTCTATCTCGTGACTCCACACTGCTCCCGTGAGGAGAAACAGATGGAAAGCTCTCTGGACGGGCGGGTATCTGAGGGTCTGTTCTCCCCTACAGCTTCACCTCTCTTGTTCATTCCTTTCCCCCCCTACATTCCGCCCCCTCCCCACTGACCTCCTGCCCACCTCTCCTGTCCATCTGTGTGCTGCTGGGGGACACCCCTCCCCTCCCTTTCCCCAGCCTGGCTTCCTGTCTGGACGGGTGTATTTATATAAGAAATGCTAACGGAGGCTTTGAGGCCATATTTCACCTGGTGTCTGACTGGCTCCCTGCAGCGCCTGCCTGCTTGCCCTCCAATGGCCTTGCCTGGGGGCCTGTCTGCTCTCCCTCCTCCAATGGTGTTTTCCTTGCTAGGCTCTGAGATGACATGTTCTTGGCAGAGTGTTTCTGAAAGGGCCACAGCTGCCCCAGACCCAGTGTGTGTCTGGGAATGTGGTAAGCTGGGCTGCCTTCCGCACCAAGGAAACAACATGAAAGGTAGGGCTCTGCCTTAGGGCTCAACAGAGTAGGGTCAGGGAGCCGGTTCAGCACGGAAAGGCGCTTGCTGCCAAGCCTGGCAGCATAAGGCCAGTCATGAGAGCAGGACTCCCCAAGCATAGCGTCTGATCCATAGTAAGGAGTTGTATAACAAGTGAGCAAACTGTAACAGTAATAACTAAACACATTTGGTAGTGAGAAAGTGTCATCCTGCTTTTATCAGAGAGAAAACTTCAGCCAAGAGAGACTGACAGACAGACCTGAGGCCCAGTAGCTTGTTTCGGTGGCAAGACATATGACTTGGTAAAGAGTTTGGAAGACCCAACAGGGTCACATACAAAACTCCTTGACTGTCACTCTGATATGCCATTTCCTGGTCTCTGCCTCTCATCCTCTTTCTCTAACTGTCCTCTCTTGTCCTGGGGACACTGGGCTCTAGCCTGGAAAGAAAATGGGATCTGCCCTCAACTCCGTGATGTAATCTTAAGCAAGTCCTTCCCTCCCTCCTTCCCTGCCTTTTTCCCTCCCTCCGTCTCTCTCCCCTTCATCAGTGAAGCTCTCCTGACCTCCAGCTTGTACCAGGCCTGGGATGTGCACAGGGTCAGGGAACATGCCGTTCCTACCTAGGGAGGGCTCGTGCACTAACTAGAGAGACTGACTGATTGTAGAGGAGACAGCAGATAAGAACCTTGGCATACCTAACACCTGGAAAAGTGAAAGAAAGTCTGTCAGGAGGACCCACCTCCCCCATCCCTGCACAGCCACAGAAACAGAGACAAACCAAGACTATCAGCCACTGGGTGAACAGTGCTGCTGGGCAGTTTAGCAGGAGCTGGAGAAGGTGACCCTGGAACCTGGAGGCCCTGGAACCTTGCTCTAGAGGATACAGGGAGGTGGACCCCATCCTCCAGAGCAGCAGTAGCAGCCTCTCTGCCTCTCTGGGTGAGGGGCTCCAGGAGGCCCCTGGCAGCCTTTCCCTCCATGCCCAGCCTCCCCTCCACTCCTCCTTTGTCTTCCTGGCGTGTTGGGTGGGCATGCGCGGGGAGGTTGGCCTGCTGCCAGCCGTTCTTCCTGCAGGCCAGCAGCCACCACAGGAGAGAACAGGCCCTAATTGAGCCTTTGTGGGGCCTCCCACAGAGCCCCAGGCACTGAACACAGTGGGGTCTCTGACTCTATGAACTGCCAGTCAGAGGCCCACAAAGTGAAATTGCAGAGGCAGGCCCCACATCCTGTGTCACCTGACTGGCAGTGTTCCTCAGGCTACCCCCTCCCCCTCCCCCACACCAGGCCCAACCAATACTCCCCCCATTCCCGGAGCCCACTCAGAAGCCACCCCTCCATGGACTCCATGGGCATGCCTGTTAGAAACCATCCCTTTGCTGTCTGTCCGTCAACTTTCCCTCTGTGCCTGGAGTGGCACCTCATGTGATGAACACCTCCACCACACCCTTGCAATGTGGCGTTTGTAACCCCTCTCACAGATAGGGAAACTGAGGCACACGGAGCTCAGGTAGCTGAGGCCAAGCATTGTAGAGACTGAGAGCTGGGATCCTCCGCAGTCACCCCTCTACCTCCTCTTGGGCCTTGGCGAGGGGAAAGTCTCTAGGACTGTGCAGACCTCCCTAGGCAGTGGCCGTGTTCCTACAGTGGGCTCCTAGGGGAGCAGGATGGGCAAGTGAACACAACGATTTGCCCAGTCTCTGCCTGTT